GTACTGAGATTTCCTTTCCAATATGCAGTCCTGAATTCTCAGCCCTCCAGAGACTTTCAGATGGATGACGCCCCACCAAACATTTGCAGTCCTGGCCTCTTGTTTGAGCTTGAGTCCTGACCTTTCACTTTCTGTTGAGTATCTCTAATTTCTGGAAACAACCTCCATATCAGATCCCCCTTTGGACTTCCTCATTTATTTCGCTGCTTGAGCCTCTCTTGACGGCCTAAAATCTTGGACTCATACCAGACTCCTCCTTCTGGTCTATTCACTGTGCCCTTCTTAATCTAATCAGCAAATTCTTGCTAGATCATTTCTTTTCACCCCCCCTTGCCTTATTTCTAATGCAGACCTTTATCTCTCTCATACCTATCCCATCACGCCAGCCTCCTAACGCCATGGCTCCAGCCAGTCTTGGGCTCTTTTGTGCCAGATTCATCTTTGAGCTTTGCACATCCTTTTCTTTGCACAAGCATGCCCTGCCCTGGTGGGCCGTTCTGGGGTCATGTCTGTGCTCATCTCTACGCCATCCCCTTTCTTTAATGATCATTTTCCTCATGTGTACTTCTTTGATGGGACCCCCCAGACAGCCCCCGTTCTCTATAAAAACTCCCTTACTTTACTGAGAACTCAGAGAGTTCTTCCTCTGACACAAAGCAAATGTATAGGACACCGTGTTGTTCTTTACATTTTATGATTGGTCCCACCTCCCGCAAAGTTCGCAAGCATGTTTTTGCACCTTGCTTTTTTCACTTAATGTGTCCTGGACATCCTTTTTTTTTTTTTAAATCAGAACACATGTAGGGTGCCTGGGTGGCTCAGTTGGTTAAGCAACTGCCTTCGGCTCAGGTTATGATCCTGGAGTCCCGGGATCGAGTCCTGCATCGGGCTCCCTGCTCAGCAGGGAGTCTGCTTCTCCCCCTGACCCTCTTCCCTCTCATGCTCTCTCTCGTGCTCTCTCTCTCAAATAAATAAATAAAATCTTAAAAAAAAAAATCAGAACACATGTGTTTATCTAATGCTCTTTATTTTTAGGTAGGCTCCATGCCCATGCGTGGGGCTTGAACTCACGACCCTGGGACTGAGAGTCCATGCTTTACCTCCTGAGTCAGCCCTTTAAATGCCTGCTGAGTGTGGGTGTTCGATAACTCATTTAATCAGTCCCCTACTCATGGACACTGGTGGCTTCTTCAGTTTTGTTATCATCAAACATGCTGCAATGAACATCCTTGCTTATCTTGAGCTTTCAGATCTGTAGGCAAAATTGCAGCACTGGGATTGCTGGATTAAAAGCATATATATTTTAAATTCGGGTTGATATAACTAATTATCTTTTGAAATAATTTACACCCTCTATACTTCCGTTTTTGGTATCACCAATTTTCCTGCCACCCAGGATTTGGACATTGACAATGGGGGTTTTGCTTAATGCCGGTTCATCCCCTCAGACTATTAGTACCAGGGAGAATGTAGAGCCAGGAGGAAAGGGAAATGAAGTCCAGAGAACAGACCCTTCAGTGGCTAGCGTAGAGTTCCTTCCGCGGGGGAAATCAGCCATCCAGGACAGCAGACCGCGCCATCTTTCTTTGCCAATGATCAACTAGAGCTAAATGAAATCCAAATGTATCCATTTATAAAATAGGGATGATCTTTATACCTATTTTATCTTTATGGATGTGAACATCAATAAGATAAAATTTCATTGTCTTAACCATTAGGAATTCTCCAGAAAGGTGGTACTGAGTAAGTGCGTGAACTCAGGACAGCAGAGTTCAAACCCGATCAAGACACAAAAGCTGTAGAACAGTGACTTGCTTGTCATCTTAACTGCTTTTGTGTGACCAAATGTTTCCTGTGCCAACCAGTGGGAGAGAAGAAGTGAGCTTGTCTTTTAGTTGCTTTAGAGTTTTGTTTATCTATTTAGCATCCCTTTTTGAAGTCCCAGGATTTATGGAACAATAAATGCCATTTACCGCTATGTGCTATTTTGGAATCCCCATAGGTTTTAGGAGTTTGGGTAAAAATATTTATCTGAAAGCTTATCAAATTTGAAATTGTACCAAGAAGTATTTTGCAGTAATTCATCCCAGTGAAACAGATTAAATTGTGGCAACGGCAAAGTTACTGTTTTTTTTTTTAATAGTAGGATACAGACATTTTCATATAATATATGTTTCCTAATAGGTGGGTGGAGAGCCTGGAAGAAAGGCTGAAAAGAGAATGGTTTGGTTGGGGTGCTGAACGATGGGTGTTTTTGTTTTGTTTTGTTTTGTTTTGATTTGATTTATTTATTTATTTGAAGGAGAGAGAGTACGTAAGAGAGAGAGAGAGAGAGAGAGCACGGGGGGGGGGAAGGGGCAGAGGGAGAGGGAGAGGGACAAGCAGGGCAGGGGGACCATGGCAGGGGGACCATGACCCGAGCCCAAGGTAGCCACTTAACCAACAGAGCCACGCAGGCGCCCCTGAGTGAGGTTATTAGTTTACTCTAATACAAATTTTGGCCATGCAAGTGAGCCAATTTAGAGCATCCAAAACAAAGCACCTTCACCTTCTCACCTTTATAGTGTGAGAGATTAGTTTTAGACAGGTCTCATTCTTTTCCACAGCATTCAGAAGTCCAATCTTAAAATTACCCAGCAGGACGTCACATGTCACATCTCACTGGGAACTAGAGAAGCTTGCCTGGTGTGATCCCGTCTTGATGAATGGAGTGGGGCAGAACAAGGCACCAAGAGGTGGGGGCTGCTCTTTGCTAAGGGCAGGCTTAGTGTGAAAGAGGAAGACCTGGAAGGACAAAAGAAGTGAATTCATTGGGTGACCCCCTTGCACGTCTCCTGCTCCCTCTGGTTTGTTCCTCCCGAGGACTGAACTCCCCAGAGTTTCTGGTGGTTTGAGGTTTCTGCTCCAGAGCAGACTACTCCAAGTGCAAATACGTCCAAGATTTTCCCCCAAGAAGGCAAGTCCAGTCCCTGCTGTGACGCTGTTCCAAGCCTGGCCCTCCGTCTTACTCTTCAGGACTCCCTCCTCCACCTTTGAGATTGACCGCTGATGCCCCGATGGCCTGGGGAGCCAAACCCTCCGCATCCCCCCCGGCCAGCAGCGACCCAAAACCCCGCTGCGCTGGAATCCCAAGGCACTTGACTCCCTTACGGGTCTGTGAATCCAGGAGGAGAGACGACTTTGTTCCACACCTTCTGAAAGCCCCTGTCCAACGCTGTGTCCCGCACGAGGTGGGGAAGTCGTCATTCATTGGCGGGCAGGATTAAGCGAATTCACACCAAGAGATGAATGACTGAGCTCCAGGGCCTTCTGCGGGCATTTTACTTTAAAAGAAGCTGTTAGTAACCCGGAAGAATATGAACGGGGGACGGTGTAGACCAGGCTGGAGAGGAGCTTTGGGACTGGGAGGCTCCCTCCCAGCCCCAGGGGCTGGGGGCACTGAAGGCCCTGTGCCCAGGCCCTGCCAGTCCTACTGCTCACGGCACTGTCCTACCCGGAGCCCAGGGTCCGGCCCCATCTCAGCGCCCACCAGGAAGCAGTAGGGGATGAATAAAGAAATGCTTGTGAACTAAGGGAAGATCCACATTCCATTTAAGACGCGATCCAGGGCCTAGGAAAGCCTGGCCTCCCGGCCGCAGTGGGGTCCCTCCAGCGTGGTCGCCCACACCTTCTTGGCCACAGCAGGGTTCGGGGTGGGGGACTTCCCGCGGCGGGGGCTGGGCGGAAGGGACTGGTTTCAGGATTAGTGCACGTCCAGCTGTCCTAACCCCCTACAACGGAGGCCAGCGGCAGAGGGTCCCCCGGTGGCTGGCCTGGGCCCCCCGGGTGGAGCGGCCGGACCGGTGGGAGGCTCGAGTGCCTTCTAGTCCGTGGCCCGCCCGGCGGGCGGAGTTGGGGGGGGCGGTGAACAGTCGCTTCCCAGGGTCAGGCCGGAGTTTCCCCCGCAGGCCACTGGGGCAGGCGGGTCTCTGCGCTCTGGGACCGCCGAACCCGCCTTCGCTTTCCGCCGCGAGTCCCGTGGCCTCTGGGCTGAGGTCACGGAGGGCCAGGCGCCCTGCAGAGGCCCCGGAGGCGACACCGCCCCGGACACGCCACGGACACTCTAAGCGCTTTCGGTGCTTTTCACACTTTCCCACCGCTCGGGACCGCCCTCGGGTTCCCAAGTAGCCCAGGGCGCGGCGTGGGGGAGCCTTTGTGCCCTCGCTGTTTGCTGGGACTTTTTCTTCCTAAGAGAGCCTCCCCCACCCCTTTCCTCTCGAAAGTCTTGTGGTTTCCCTAGAAGTCGGCAAGAAGTTGAGAAGGTTGCGGAGCGCTCTCTAGCTCCTTCCCGTCCCGAAACTCTAAAGACCCGAGCCGTTCGGCCGCTGGGAGATGTTTGGGGTCAAGGGGAGGGAGCGAACGGTGCATTCCTTCGCCCTCCTCCCTCCCACCGGGTCCCTCAGCTCCCCTCCTCCGCCCCCGCCCCGGGCTCGGCCCTGCGCCCGGGCTCTCGCAGTCTGCCCCGGGAGCTGCAGGGTTAAGCCCTGGAATGTGGCGGCGAGGAATGTGCATGCAGATGAGCCCAGCGAGGGGAGGGGCGGACGGAGGCGGGCCCGGGGCGGGGCGCATGCTAATCGCACGCAAATGAGGAGGCCCGTCGCCGCCGCGGCCGCCGCTCCGCCGAGCTTCCCGGATCCGAGCCCAGACGGCGGCGGCTCGGGCAGCCTGGGCGCCGCGACCCTCGGCGGCCACAGGGGGACGGGGAGGAGGAGGAGGAAGAGGCGGAGGCAGCGGCTGCAGCCGCGAGGCGGAGGAGGAGGAGGAGGGTTCGCTCGCCAACTCCGACGCAGACATGGTGGACTGATCCCCGGCGGGGCCGAGAGCAGGGCTTCCTGAGGCGCCCCCCGCGCGTGGCCCCGCCGCGCCCCGCGCCCCGCAGCCCCTCGCCGGCGCCCGCGTCGGGTGCGGCGGCCGAGCCGGGCAGTCACGTTCCCGCCGCGTCCCGCGCCCGGTCCCTATGGAGGCGCCGCTCGCCGGCGAGGCCGCCGACCATGCCTAGGAGGGCCGGGAGCGGGCAGCTGCCGCTACCCCGGGGCTGGGAGGAGGCCAGGGACTACGACGGCAAGGTCTTCTACATCGACCACAACACCAGGAGGACCAGCTGGATCGACCCCCGGGACAGGTGGGCGGCCGGGCCGCGGGTGGGCGCGGGGACCCGCCTCAGAAGTCCGGCGGCGGCTGTTGTCCCGGAGATCCGGCCGATCGGCGGCGCCCGCGGCGCGGGGGGCGTGGGGCGTGGGGCGTCGCCGGCCCCGGACTGCCGGGAGGGGTCTCGGGAAGGAGGTTGGGGACCATCAGCCGGTGAGGAGCCCCGGAGGGGCTCGCTTGGAGCCGCCCCTTCCAGGGCCTCTTTGCCCGCTCCCTTCCCGACTCCCCCTGGGACCTTTAGACACTCCCGGGCCGGGAGGGAAGGGTGGAATTTGGCGCCCCGGGCTGGCACTTCGTGTCCTGTTAACGGACCCCGAGGAGCCACCTGAGCCCTGCCGCGAGCTCGCCTATGCCTAAAGTGGGCCAAACTGGAGCTGGAGGGTAGCTTCGGCCTTTGGGAGGCGGGGACGGGCCGGGAGCCTCCGGGAGAAGGCCTAAGTGCAAGGTGGGGAACCAGCCGACCAAGCCACCTGTGGCATCTCTCTGGCCGTCCTTGGCGGCCAGCCTTGACTGCAAGTTCTTGACGGGCCGCTGGTCAGGCGGGAGGTCCTGGGCATGGAGGGGGGTTCCAGGCACCCTTCCTCGCCGGGCCCTGGCTGTGGGTGTTACTAGCTTTGCCCCTCAGAGTTTAGAAACGCTTTTTGGGGGGGGGGTAGGGTTTGGCTTACTGCTTCACCTGAAAACGAACTGCGTCTTAGATCTTGAAAAGGCAAATTCTCTTTTGAAAAGTGCAGTGAACATCGAAACGGACTTGAGCTTAGCATGATGTCTTGTAGTTTTCAACACACACTTTTTAGTCCTGCTTGGAGGTAAAGTGGAGAAGCATAACCAAATCATCGTCCAAGGAGTTGAGGAGCTGAAATTTTGCCTAATGTTCACAAATGTTGGAACTCTATCCCATCTGTCTTGTTACCCTTAAAAGGAAAATTTCTGAAAGTTGGACCTATTAGAAGAATAATAGGAGATATTCCTAATTGTAAATTTGTAAATTGGCCATTAAGGAGGCGTTCCTAATTGTAAATTAGGGGTTTATAACCTTTTAGGTGTTTCTATTACCCCTTTTCTTAATTTGAAGTTGAAATAGTTTTGTACTTTATGTTCTTAGTTAACTTTTATCTTAAGGATATTGTTTTTTGAAAGCTAGTAAAGAGTAATTATAAGAAAGTCATAAATGGCATTATAAATTTATGGAACAATCCTTATTAAATTATCCATGAAGGTATCAGTTTAGGTTTCCCTTCTGAAATGAGAAAAGGCACCTGTGCTGAGGTTCTCTCTTGCCACAGCCTGGCTGCCTGTTGCTGGCCTGATGAAAGTTATGACAAGCATCACACCTTCACAGTTTCTCCAGGCATACTAGTTGTTGTCATAAACTTCACGCTCCAGGTCAGTTACTTGACTTATGCCCTTGCACTTGAAACTGTTTAACAGACAGTAAATGTCGGTGATGATGGTGTGCACCCAGCAGTGACTTCTAAGGCACCTGTATAAATATTTGACTTTTACAGTTATGTGGTAATTCTGCTTTCTCATACTAGGAGTTTCAGGTTCTTGAAATTGCAGTGAATTCTTGAAATTTTTAGGCATTTCAGATTCCCTTCATTTTGCATGTTCAGTTATATCGTCTCATTTATATTTACCAACAAAGATTATAAAGAACATGTAATGCCTTCGTAAAGCAAATAGAAAGTGAGGTAAGATATGACTTGGCTTATCCATATCACTACTTCTTAAACAAGTTAAGCATGCCTTTTATTTTAAACTGTTAATGGATTAACAATTATTATGAACTCTGTTTTCAGGAAACTGGGTAACCAATTCATTTGATGTGGATAAACAGTTTTGACTAAGATGACTTGTTATTATTCCAGTTTTCTTTGAAGCAGTTAGATCTTTAAGTATTTGGAAATAGAAATTTGGTTATAAACATTTCTGGATCTCACTATGAGTTCTAAAAAATTCTGTGAGATCAGGGTCATTGCTGACATACTTAGTTTAAGTTTGATTCTGTTTTCTTTTAGGGAATTGAAGTGACTGTAAGTCTTGCTAAACTGTGTGAGAGGATATTTGGAACAACTATGCACTCTAGGCAGTTTTGTTAGACACTTACCAAACATATGGAAAAAGAGATGTTACACAGGCCAATTGGAGTGTGCCTATTCTTCTACAGGATCAAATTACAAATCCTGGAAGAAAAGTGTCTTGATAAAGTGTGGGTGTGCGGTACCTTTGAACTTTTAAAGTCAATTAATTAAAATGGTCACGAAGGCTTACCCAGTTGTATTCATGTTAAGAAAAATTCTGACAGTCTATCAGAATTGGTGAAGTATTTCTGATTGTATAGATATATATGCAGATTTAGTGGTGGGGGGAGTGGAAGCCTGGAGGCTTTTACAAGAACATAATCTTGTTCAATAAGCAGTGGTTTTAGAATACTGAAGTATTAAAATACTTGTAAGCTTTTGGAGGTAGATGACCTAATGCAAACTTTGCTGGGACATGATTAAAGCTTTTATTGCCTCACCACTTATTAACTGAGTAAGCTTAGCTGAGTTTGTGAGTCCCTCTAAACCTTCGTTTTCAACTCTGAGATGAAGATAATACCACGTATTTTATAGGGATGGTTAGGGGTCCATAATGACGGCCCAGCCAAGTAGTACTAGCGGTGGTGTTGTCATTCCACTGCAGGAACTGATTGGTAGTTCAGGTTGCCCCTGGACATAGTGGATGTACTGGCACCTATTTATTCTGTGTTTACTGTATGGCGGTCACTGGGCTAAGCTTCTTAGCCATGATCTCATTCTGTTCTCCCGTTAGTCCTATGAGGTGGTGCTATTATTATCTTCCAGTTACAGATGAGGAAATAGAGTCACAGAGACATTGCCATTGCTGTTAAAAGTGGCCAAGATTTGAAGTCAGACAGTTTGACTCTGGAGCCTGTGCCCTGTGTCATTCCTTTAGACCGCTGGAACACCTGGACATGCTCAGGGGTTTTTGGGTGGAGTAGAACCTCTTTGCCTAAGTGTTGATTTTTCAGGCTGATTAACCAGTCTTTATTGGTCTTCAAAGGTTCCTGTTAACTTTTTGTGATTCTTAGATCCCTGAGTTAGCCACATGTAGGGTCGGGTTCATGAATGCCTTGGGAGTAGGGTTGGCCGCCCACCAGGTTGACCCCATTGAACAACAGTGCAGGGCCAGGTAGAACTTGGAAATTCAGTGTGCTCTTGGGCACCTTAGAAGTTCTGTTTGGGGAAGAGTTAAGGGCTCTGTCTCGTTCCTGAATAGATTACAGTTTTACTATAGTGGGCTTGACTCTGCCTTCCTCCCCCCCCCCCCCCCACCAATCCTGAGGAAATCTCCCTGTCCATGATTCCTTGCCTCCTACTCCCACGCCCTCGCAGTGGATCAGCTGTTATTTTGGGGGTCTACTCTTTCCCTCACCTCTTATTTTGCCCACCACGGACAGCCTTTGAGCACACCAGTTGGCGTTTATGGTGGCCCATAGATCATGGCCAAATGGTGTGGTGTGTAAAAAACACGCCCTACATTCAACATAGGAGAAAAGGGTGGGATGGATTCATTGCCCCTGAGAGGAATAGCGGGCGAAGGTGGGCAGGCCTCAGAGACTGGGTGAGTGGTTGTACAAACTCTCAGTAGAATTCTGCTCATTTTCTGCCCTTGGACTGAACGTTATCCTGAGATACAATAATTTTGTCTAGTTGAACGTAAAAGATGTACCACCACACAGAAACTTGCTGATGGACATAAGCTTTGGTTTATGGCTAGCATCAGATACTGAGTGACCTGTGTGCTTTCTAACTGAAGGGCAGAAGTTCTGGAGGTGGGATGGGGCGGGAAGGGGAGCGCAACAGGAGGAAGACGATGTCAGCTGGGTATCCTTGATGGCTGAGCTAACTCTGGGCTCTTTACACCCACTTTATGGCACGTGATTCAGATCTGAGGAACTCTGTATTGTCTTGCTTTCAAAGTCGAAGCAAGTAATTTTGCTAAAGCTACTGCTAAAGTGTAAATTCCTCAAGAGACCTAATTGCTTATTACTGCTTTTCTGTGTCCTTTGTAGATGGTAGATGTTAAATGAATGTTGGTTAGGTCAATTAATGAAGAAAGTTGTTAAATTAATGAAAGAACACTAGTTGAGCTACTCTCTCCCAGTTCCTTATTGTTAACGCTTTAGAAAAAATTACCCATATCCACTACCACCCAGGGACAATCGATTTTCCAGTTAGATTAAAAATAATGAGAGAATTAAGCTGCTACATTTTGACTAATAGTATAAATATGGGAATTATAAGAGCAAAGAAAACAAAATCAGCCCTTATAGTCGTAATCACAACTGCCATTGTCATAGATTGCCGGAAATCATTCCTCTCCAGCCAGCTGAGTTTGGGTGCCAAATGGTTACTGTGAATTATTTGAGTGATTATGGTTTTGAAGTGTGGAGAGGTTGTTAAAGAAAGGTTTTGTTTTGTTTTGTTTTGTTTTTAATCACTCTGGGAAGCACTAATTTAAACTCAATTGTGCTGTCTCCCAAAAATTCCCAAAGAAGTATTTCATGTTTTCAACACAGTTTGCTGTAGTGCTTGCAGGAGGGAGCAGCAGTTGCTTAGTATATGACTAAGATTTCTCCCGTGACTTTAATAGTCTGTAGTTAGCAGTGTAATTTTTTTGGAAGACTTAGGGCAGCACTTGTTTTTTTAGGAAAGACTATTATTTATAATTTTCTTTTTTTTAAGCTGCAGATCACTGAATTGCAAGTTAACCTAGTCAACCCTTAAGGCTTGTGGCCTTCCAGTGTTTAAGTCTCCTGTAGGGAAGCCCAGGTGCGCTGGGAAGTGTGGAAGCTGCCCTGCAGCCCGACAAGATCGGCCCTGCCCACTTGTGGGACTTGGAGATACTGCCTTGTGAATGGCATGTGCTTGCTTTTCTTGCGTAAATGTCAGTAGGAGAAAGACG